TTCTTTGATTCATCCGGACGACGCACCTGCTATATCGCCCCTGAGCGGTTCTACGCATCAGGCTCTGAGATCGCCGCACAAAAAGCGGAAAGGGAGCGACAGAGCCGGAGAGATGGCGACGTGACAGAGGCCATGGACGTGTTCAGCATGGGCTGCGTAATCGCCGAATTGTTTACCGAGGGTACGCCTACGTTTACGTTGAGTCAGCTATACAAGTACCGTGCTGGTGAGATCAACCCCGAAACACATCTGGTGGGACTCGAGGATTCTGGTGTAAAGGTGCGTGGCTTCGTCCAGCAATCTTCACCAACTTACCATGGGGTAGGCTTTGGTGGTCAACATGATCGCACTCGACCCCTCTGCACGGCCAACCTTCAAAGCTGCTCTAGAGTCTTGCCAGGGATCCGTGTTCCCCGAATCCTTCTACTCGTTCTTACACGAATACGTCTCCACCGTGAACGAAATCACCAATCCTTCTGTGTTCGCTCCCAAACCTGCCCCTGCACTGAATCCTCTGGAAGCGCCGTCGGGCGGCGCCACACCAACCGTCCCGCCACTTGCCAGCCCCGCCCCTACTGCCTCCACTGTCATAACCGCTCCGGCCGTGCAGCTTGCCCAAAATCCTGTAACCGCGACCTACGAAAGCATGCTGCCAAACGAGTCTGACGCTCGCATCGATCGAATCTGGAACGACTTTGCCATGCTCGAACCTTACTTGCTGGTGCTTCCTGATGAAGAAGAGCCCGAAAAACGGCCGGATAAAACTGCTTCAAGGACTAGGACGCTGCCATTCCAGGTCGGTCTGGCGATGGGTCTGCACTTGATGAACTTACCATCATTTCGCAATAGGATATCCTACCAGTTGAATTGAGCATTCCGAAACGAACCAGTAAGCTACAGGGTGGCTTGCTACCCAATCAACGCGCGGCCTCCGAAGGTGAGTTGTGCCACATACTACGTATCTCAAGGCTAACCGGTTTAAAGATGGCCCCGCTCTCATCGTGCTCTCGCTTGTCTGTTCCAACATCCGAAACTGCACAATCCCGAGCTCCAAGTTACGCACATTGGATCTCCTACTCGCTCTGGCAGTTCACCTAACGGACGAGGCCAAACTCGATCGATTAGTGCCATATGTAATAGACCTGCTACATGACGAGGCTGCGGCAGTACGCGCTGCTAGTGTGAGGACGCTAACCCAAGTAGTGAGTCGATTTGGCCTTTGTTATGAACGAGCTGACAGGCATACTGCAGCTAATGCTCGTGGCAGTTATCACACCCTCAAACGCGTCTATATTCCCAGAGTATATCTTCCCGAATGTTCGGCATTTGGCAACAGACCCGGACGACTCTGTGCGGTGCATGTTTGCCCAATGCATCGCACCCTTGGCGGATACTGCGTCCAAGTACCTCGAGCTTGGCCAAGCTTTAAAGGCACACGGAACTTTCAAGTTGAGCGATATGCAGGATACTGATGAGATGGTTTTCGAGGTTCGTGTGATGCCTACCTGACGTTGAGTACAATGTTGATCATTCTGATAGATGTCCTACGAGGCAAGCCTCCAAGACCTCCATTCCGCAGTCCAGGATATTCTCGTCACCGCGCTCGTCGACCCTTCCAGCACTGTTAAACGTGCAGTTCTACACAACATCTCGTCGTTATGCGTCTTCTTTGGTCGACAAAAGACCAACGATGTGCTTTTGAGTCATATGATCACGTATCTCAATGGTCGGGACTGGCTCTTGCGGTATGCGTTCTTTGAGAGTATTGTTGGTGTCGCTGCCTGTGTTGGGGCACGTAGCTTGGAGGAATACATTTTGCCATTGATGATCCAAGCCTTATCTGGTGAGTTTAACCTCGTTGTTGGCCGCGGTGTTCTAACATTCTTCCCGCAGACGTTGAAGAGACTGTGGTCTACAAAGTTTTGGCATCCTTGACAAGTCTGTCCGAGCTTGGTCTGTTCCAGAAGATGCGTACTTGGGAGTTGCTGAGCGCCACGGTACCGTTTTTGTACCATCCTAGTATTTGGGTCAGGCAAGGTGCGTACAATACAGTCTACTTGACGTGCGACTAACAACCTCTTCTAGGAGCCATTGCATTTATTGCATCTTCGACAAAACTCCTACCTCCTACGGATGTGTGGTGCATTTTATACCCTGGACTCCGCCAAGCTTTACGAGCCGACGTCAGGGCAATCACTGAACAGAGCCTCCTCAGTACGGTCAAGACTCCAGTACGTGCACCTTGAACCAGCCGAATAACTTGAACTGACATCATCTAGCTGTCTCGCCAAATATTTGAAGCAGCTATCACTTGGGCGATGAAGAGCGACAAGAGTCCATTTTGGCGCGGTCAAACTGCTAGACTCAAAGCAAACAAAGAGTCACCGAAAGAGCTAGTTTCCAACATGAGCAAGTCGACCGTGTTACCTAGGTCGGGGCCAAAGTCAGAAGAGTGGGCATGCCTTTCTTCTGGGAATCGCGGAAGCTGAACCCATCTCGGCAGAGACGACGCTCAAATCGTCAAGCTCCAACAACTTGGGATGTCCTCTGCGGAAGAAGCGAAACTAGTCGCGTTAAGAGATTATATCTTGAAACTTGCCAGCGCCATAAAGAGGCAAGTTTAACCCAACCAACCTAGCCACCTGATACTCAAACGACCGACAGTTTTGTGGCCCGCGATAAAGATGAAACCGAAGTTGTTGACGTCTTGCATAGCCCTGTTGCTGAGCTGCAGAAACTCGGGGTCGTTCCGCAAACCGTGTTTGTGGGTACTCGACCCGCCGTGAGCGAAACACCGTCTATCTACGCCGCGAGTACATCGACCCGTAGATCAACTCTAGACGTTACACCGCGGACTCCCAACCCTAATATACCCCGGGGAGTACGCAAAGGGAGCATAGATATTGGCTCAAGGTCAGCTAGCCCATTCGACGACTTGCGACGCCACTTGGGTCAGATAGAAGGCTCTCCTCTTGGCCTTGGAGTTCCTCAAGCTCGCGCAATTGGACGCAAAGATTCTCAAAACTCGCTCGCCAGCGGAAGTGGGATTCATTCTCCAGTAGCATCCGACGTGCATACACTCGACTTTGCGCCTTCCAGTCCCTCCGAGTCTGTTTCTGTCTTGTCTGGCGCGGCTGGCCCGGACATGCGACGTCGGCACCTGAGGCATCTTGTGCAAGACGGACGCGGAACTGCTCCTGCTACCGTGGCGCCCGTGAGGGCGGTAGCTACCGGGACGCTGGAAGCTCCAGTAAAGCTTGGCGATATCCCTGCGTCCGGGAGAACATCTCCCGCTTCTACTGTGCGCGGCGAACGTCCGAAAATGAGGTCGCCTGGCCCGTCTTCATTGGCATATGGTCAGTTTGTGTGCAGCCGCCAGCAAACCTGGACTAACCAAATGTGCAGAGAACCATGGGGCAAACGTGAACAATCTGCTGGAGCAGATGAACATGGATACCATTCGCGAAGGCATGCAGGATTTTGGACCAAAAGTTCATGCTGGGCCTATCCGGCGGCGAAACGTTCCGCGAGGTCACATACCCTCCCGCGACAGTGGATCGCGAAGACCCGACGCACTGCTCATATCCCACATGAACGCACACGATGGACGCGTCAACGGTTTGGTGGTCTCACCTGACCATACATTCTTCGTCTCTTGTTCCGATGACCGCACCGTGAAAGTGTGGGACACTGCCCGACTCGAACGTAACGTCACAACCAAGCCACGACATGTCTACAGCCAACATCACGCCCCGGTTACGTGCGTATGTATCATCGAAGGAACGCACTGCTTCGCAAGCGCCGGTGAAGATGGGAGCGTTCACGTCGTACGGGTTCATGTCAACAC